AAGCATCTGCAGGTTTATCACTGTGGTTGCTGCAATAATGTTCAGTTTGCTTGACCAATCAACATACAATTATGCATGTAAGTATGGGAATTTACAAAAAAAAGTTTTGGTATTTTATATTAAGAAGGTAGAAACGGTGTCATATTTTTAAAAGCCATTACTTTCATAGGGCAGTTATTTTACACTCCCTCCTGAGCTCCAGTCTACACTCTCATCATACTGTTGTTTTTTTCTTGGACACCAATGACTTTGCATTAGATTTTAATGCCCCCTGGGCCTTTTTTCCACCCCTCATTCTAGTTTTATGAATCTGGACTGGCATGATAAGGATTAGGAGCACTGTGTTTTCATCATTAGTGGGTATCATTTGGGATTAAAGGCAGAGGCTGTGCTACGGGCTTATGGGTGGGACGCTGTGTCTCTCGCAGGGACGGGCTGTTGGGTAATATGAGGATGAATATACAGTGAGCAAGTAGAGAGAATAGGGACCAGCTGGTGTCTAGGCCCAAAGAGCTCATAGACACAAGAATCCCACACTGCAGGGGTGCCGGTTTCCCATGTTCTTTGTGTGGTTCTTGGCTCACAATTAGTTTTTTTTGGTTAGCTCATGGCTAAACCTCAGGTCCCCAGACACCACCTTCTAAAAATGAATTCTGCATCTTTACCACAGAGATAAAGATGTTTTGTTTAAAATGCATACTGCTTTACAGTGGCACCACAATTTATGCTAATGTAGTTGTCAAATTTTAACCATGTAACAAAGATTTATTAATGCATATTAGCTTGGACATGTAAAGTTTTATTTTTGCTGCTAATTTAGGGAAAACTGCTTTTATTCTCTATTAATCTTTTTGGAGAACTTGGCATGATCAAAGCAGAATTTTACTCTGTTTTTTAATGATAGCTCTCTGTTTGCTGCCTGTTACTTCGAGATGCAGTTTGAGATATGTTAGACATCTACTCATGTAGTAGTCCTGTAATTATACCTGCACAAACCTTCAGTTGTGACAAGATTTGAGTGGTTTCTAGATCTTAAAACCAGAATCCTTTTAACTACGGTACATGGCTAATTTAACTGGTCTGCAGTCAGAATACCAAAAAACTGTTCAGAAAAAATGGTTGATGTGATAATTTTTAGTTTGAAATATTTGCTTTGTGTTTTAGTGAGAAATAAAACAAGAAAAATGGGTTACCGCAAGATTTTAGTTACTGGGTAGTTGTATATTATTTATCTATGTTATTGTTTGGCTGTGAGAGTAGTATTCAGGTATCCAGTACAGTAAAGGGTTCCCACTGAACAGAAACTCTATTAATAGACTATATTGAAACTGGATCAGATCATGTGGAGAGCAGGACTGCACGATGTCAGAAAAACCTGCAATAAAACTCTTTCTTACTGTCAGGTTTTTGTAAATAAATAAAGAAAAACATCTGAAAATAAGTAAAAATTTTACATAAACATTAGCAAAATCTAAATCCAACTGTAAATTCTCTCATTGCAGTTGTCCAACATTTTCTGCACTCAAGTAGTTGTGATTTGATGAGGTGTCTCTGGTTTGTTTTGTTTATCAAACTGAAGCTGACAAAACACAAATTCAAACATTTGAGCCAAACATTTAATGCAGTTTTTTTTCGATGTGCTTATTGTATACAGGCTGTTAGGCAGTGACGATAAATTTGCGACATATTTTGCAGCCATAGTGGAGAGTTAAACTTCCTGTCAGTTTAGTTGCGCTTTGCTTGTTTTTTACATGGTTGTAAAGACAGCGATTTAACCTTTACTACTTGTTAGGAAGTGCTGTTAGCAGAGAACTGCTTCTGGCTATACCGAAGCATAACTTAGAAAAGCTGCCTCTGAATAAACTGCACATGTTCTTGAGCCACATCCTTTAAACAGATGAACTGATATTTGGCTGTAATAGACAATATCAATAAAAACCAAGACAAACACCTCTTACCAGCTTTTCACATGGTTATGGAAACAGGGCTAATGCTTTCAGCCTTTTGTAAAGGACCATCTATTCGTCCATTCGTTGGTTGTTTTTTTTTACGTCAGTCAATGGCTGTGTCCAAAATGGCAGGACGGGTCCTCCGAAGGCCGAATTCATCGGCCGCATMCGTCACAGCGCCGCGACGGAGGACGTCCAAAACCGAAGACTCCTGCGATGCGGCCGACAAATACGTCCTTCCTTTTCCCCGATTTGAAGGACAGGTCTGATGGATCCTTCCCGGTCCAGCATATCCCATAATGCATTGCGGCCCGACCGGAGATTTGTTTAAGCTAGTAATGGCGGACGAAGCGAGAGAAAAGAATACGTTTTAAATAAAAATATGGTGATATGGAAATTAAAAAAATTAGCGGTTGTAATTCTAATACATTTATCGTTTGTATAGACATGTTTTTAAATATTATTTTTATCAAAAAAAACGTGAAATAAACATGCACCTACAGCAGGTCAATTAGTTCTTCAAATGTTACCTTTAAGTTAATTTTACAGTTTTGTGAAATTAATAATGCTATTATATTGATATTTTTCTAGTTCTGATTTAAGTTTGCTTGTTTAGCATCATCACAGTTGCTAGGTGACATGACGTACACCGGGGTAAGGAGGGGAGGCTAGACCGTCCAAATTCACAGCCTCTTTTTTTCCGGTCTTCCCGGTCTACCAAGGACCCGGCCCTCCGCGACCGGGTAGTCTGGGTCCTCCGGAGGACCCGGCCTGTCGTTTTGGATACAGCCAATATAAGCAGCAGAATAGCCACCCGCCACTGCAACAAACTGCTCCAACAATTACGTTAGCATGCTAACGGACATAGCGGTGCTTTGAGGAAATGTGTCCCCCGGGAAACAGTTCACTGGTGTCCATGACGAAACGTTCCGCGCGTGTTCAGGCTATTTAAACCGGTATGTCGGTATTCAGAAAATTCATATAACAAAAATAAAAACCGGTGTTCGGTACAAAACGGTATACTGCCCAACACTACCTCTCACAACCATGTGTGGTATTATTGTTTAACCAGCATGGCTGAACAAGAGACATGGAGGGTAACTCATTAACTTGGAGCAATGCAGATAACTTCTGTTACACACCTGCCATTCCACAATCCTGTGACTTAACTGTTCACACATATTTCTCATTGCATCACACGTCTGAGCTGCAGTACTACCCATTTATTACATAAGCTGTTATGGCTTTGTTACTTGTCTCCTTTGGATGCTCAGGGACATAATAGCAGTGGGTGTTAAACAATGTGGTAAGAAGGCCCCTTGTGTATATCTTGAAAGCATTTATTGTGTTTTTGGCTCAAAGAACATTTTGGAGCTGCATCTGTGTGGGGAAATGAACAGATCAGGTTTAGATAGGAACAGGACAGTAAACATCCATCCTTTATCAGCTGGTTGTTCCAGAATCTGTAGCAGCTTGTGCAGAGAGATCCAGACCTCTCTTTCCCCAGCCACCTCTCAGATCTTTTGGGAGAGCTCCAAGGTGTTTCCAGACCAGTTGTAAGTGTCTCCAGAGTGTCCTGGGTCTCCTCCCGGACATGCCCAGACAACCGTTCTAGAGAGGCGTCCAGGTGGCGTCCTTAACCAGATGAACTGGTTCCTCTCGATGTGGCTATCCCAGCCCAGAGAGACAGTCCACCCTTTTCTGACTGAGGACCATGGCCTCAGATTTAACAAACACGACTCATCAAATTAAAACCCACATTTAATGTCTGTTTATTCCTTAACATGACTGTGTGTAGTTTTCTCAAAGAACATAGTCTGATCTGGGTGGACTGATGAAGGGTTTTTTATAGGAACAGTGATTAGAGTGCTGTTTTGCTCTGAGCTGCTGTGAGTTAACTAGATAGCAATGTATTTTTGACTGCAGCTTTGATGAATAGTGTAGAAAAACTCTTTTAGATTGTATATTTGATTTATGCTGCCGTCCTGAGCGAGCAGCGTGGGAGATCCAGAGTAAATGACTTCTCCACAGGGATTTCTCATCATAAACAAATGCCGGTTTCCTCCAGCTGTTTGGCAAAATGTGATCAGTGCACTGAAAACACCTTTATTTTACTGTGTGTTGAAATAGTTTTTTGTGAGTGGGTCATAATGATGTTATAGCAGGGGCTTCCATGCAAATAAAAATCACACACTCACACAACAACCCCCTCCTGAGCGCCTTCATTTCTCTTAGCATCACTCATTAGCAGAAATCAATCTGCTGCTCTGAGAGATTACCAGAGCACATGTGTATTTACACACTCTGCTAATAAGGGCCCATGGGACAGACACACACACACACACACACACACACACATTCCCACACAAACACGAACATTGTTCATGAAACACTCGCTTGTGAGAGTAGTGGGACCCCAGCTGATCCACCACACCCTGCCAACGATGGGGTGGTGGAGAGATACAGAGCTGGGGTGAGAAATGTTGTGTACTACGGGCCTCAGCACATTTTTATGTCCTTATATGGTTGTAAACCAAGCGGGGGAGGGAGGGGCTGTCGTCCCGCTGTCAGTTAGACATGTGACCTGGAAACAGGAAGTACTGTTTAGTGCAGCAGAAGAGAAGTAAAGTGAAGAGAGAAATGACTGCTTGCTTGTGCTGCAGGCTGACTGAGAGGCTGAACAACTCTCCTCCACCCTCCAGAGCGTTCACACAGCCACCTCACCCCCTCTGTTGGCTGCAGGCTGTAAACGTGATCAACTTCTGGGCTGACTGCCTCTCCCCTTCCAGGCCCTGTTCTCAGAGAAAGCAGCACCACCAAGTTTCAGCTGCATTTGAACAAGTTTTAGAACAAAATGATTTAGTTTTGTTATAATATATAAGATTACAGTAAGGTTGATAAGATAAGGTTTGATCCCGGGGTGTCACTAAATGTATTTTCACCAAAAAGCTGAAATGTTAAAATGTGTTAACTTTTTAAAATGTACTGTTAAAAACTACATTATAACAGCAGCAAACACACTTAAATGAAACTTTGTGTCTTTGTGTGCAGGTACGCATAGCAGCCAACTTTGTCATCCATGCTCCGCCAGGAGAGTTCAACGAAGTCTTCAATGGTTAGTAGTCCAAATAATGTGTGTTTACACATTTCTGTCAGTTGCAGTGTTGGCTTCTAAAACACCAGAGTAAACACACTAACTTGTGTTGATCATAAACAATCTGTCCATGGTTTGTTCTTTGTTTTTTTCTTTTTTTTATCCCTCCGTCCGTTTTGTTCCTCTTATCCGGAATCGGGTCTCGGGGGCAGCAGCCTGAGCAGAGACCCAGACTTCCCTCTCCCCAGCCACTTGGGCCAGCTCCTCTGGGGGAATCCCAATAAGTTCCCAGACCAGCTGAGAAACATAGTCCGTCCAGTGTGTCCTGGGTCTTCCTCTGGGCCTCCTCCCACTGGGACGTGCCAGGAACACCTCACCAGGAGGCGTGTTGTTCGGCAGTCATTTTCGCACACACCTTTCATAGCCCCAGAGACACACCGCACCAAGCTCCTGGGAAACCCCACCCGCTGCAGCATACGTCACTGCATGGAGTTTCTCACCGCTAATGCAGAAAAAAAAGTCAGACTCAACACTCACCCAACATATTTATCCACATCTGTCCTGGTTAAAACTCCACAGTTTTTATCAGTCAGATTCCTCCGTGCACAACATCTGTTTAATCTCCATTCATGAGTTTTTCACGGTTTGACTATCTTTATAAAACTCTGCTTCCTGTTAACTGTCGGCTCTGGGAGTGAGGGCCCCCCACCTTTTTTTTACCAAGCGGTTGAACTAAAGGCAGCGTTTAAAAGCGCTTTCAGCACAAACTAACACGTCATGAGTTTTTCTCGGTTAAACTTTCTTTATTAAACTCTGCTTCAACAGTCGGCTCTAGAAGCAAGTTTACTTTTCTTTTGAGTGTCCAAGTGCTTTCAGCACAAGCAAACACGCCCACGAACTTCAGACCAATCACACATTACCGTCGTCGCGGGAGGGGTGTAAAAAGTTCTGCCGGCGGGTTGTGCCAAAAGGGGCGGCTGAGACGACGCTGCAAAGCCCGGTGACGTAATTTTCATCATGAAACTGCGACAAACCGTGCCAACGTCGGCAGTTCGGAGGGAGTATGTTTCCAGCTTAAGGGAGAACCCAGACACCCTGCAGAGGAAACTCATTTTGGCCACTTGTATCCGCGATCTCGTTCTTTTGGTCACTACCCAAAGCTCGTGACCATAGATGAGGGTAGGAACATAGACTGACCGGTAAACCGAGAGCTTCACTTTCTGACTCAGCTCTCGCTTCATCATAACAGACCGGTACAACGCCTGCATCACTGCAGCACCAATCCACCTGTTGATCTCCCACTCCATTCTTCCCTCATTTGTGAACAAGACCCTGAGATACTTAAACTCCTCCACTTGGGGCAGGACCTCCTCCCTGACCCGGAGGAAGCACCCTACCCTTTTCCGTCTCAAGACCATGGTCTCAGATTTGGAGGCACTGATCCTCATCCCGGCCGCTTCACACTCAGCTGTGAACCACTCCAGTGAGAGCTGGAGATCAGGATCTGATGAAGCCAACAGGACCACATCATCCGCACAAAGCAGAGAAGTGATCCTAAGGTCACCAAAACAGATCCCCTCAACACCTTGGCTGCTCCTAGAAATTCTGTCCATAAAAGTTATGAACAGAATCAGTGACTAAGGGCAACCTTGGAGGAGTCCAACTTTTTGCTTCGAAATAAAACAAGAAAAAAAGAAAAATCCGTTGGTTTTCTGTTATTTTTTTGTTTAGGTTTTAAAAATGAACTAAAAATATGACAATTGCAATAGTGAAAAATGGGCTATGTCTTTTTTATTATTTCAACAGTTAAAATGTTAAATCAAGGCAAAGTTTTTATCTTGTTACACCGTTTGTTACTTTCTGGCAGAAATTTTCATGGCCTTAACTCCTGGCACATTACACATTCACTGAGCACAAGGTCTATTTAGGCCCCGTTTACACACTACTGATTTTGTGTGAAAACACAGGTCTTTGCTGCGGTTTGGCTGATCGTGTACACAACACCAGCTATCGTTCTCTCTGAAACCAGAGGTCTCTGAATCCTGGTCTTCATGCAGAATCGGGTTTGAGTGTAACCATTGCCAATATCTTTAGGAATGGTTTCTCTTTATGTCTTTCAGTCACTAGAAACACTTCTTTGGTGACTTCAGGTATCACTACATGGTTTTATTTTAGATTTAGATAAATGAAGAAAAAAATCACACACTGGACTTTGATTTTACAGTTTTCATTTAGATTTTGAAAACAGAAAAACAAAAAAACATGATTGTTTTCTTTTTGTGATTTTATTTTGAAACAAAAAAAGCAAAGAACAAACCCTACACAGATTATAAATCTGTCAGTTCAGCTGATGGATGTTTTGGTATGAACATGTCATGTTGTCCCACACACTGCAGTTTAAACCTGGATGAGAAGATCTAAACTAGTTGTTTGTCAAAGTAAAAGTATGTTTTTATTTTGTACCCAGAGTGCATTGAGGCAGACGTTTTGGACAAATTGTCCTGTTGTATATGGTTGAAGTCGTGTCCCTCAGGAGAAAACATGTCATCCTGACTTGTTAGAGGAACGCTGGGGGTGATGTCTGTAGCTTATCACAGCCTGACAGACACACAAAGACAGAGTCCCCCTGCCACTTGGACCACTTTGATCTTTTTGTAGTTTTCTGGGGCCTCGTTATTTCATATGGAGGACCAAACCTATCATTATTGGAAATAAATGTATAAATATATAACTG